AGGCTTATACGTAGTATCATGAGGTCTTTCAGATTATGCCATCAGCCACCTTTCGTATCTACGAATATCGGATCAAATATGACAATTGAGTAAGACAGCTTTTAAGGGAGATGAGCCTTCTGTAATGGGAATTGAAGCACACATTAGTGCAATGGATTTTTGAGTGGTTTTTGGATATATCCCCTCTAATTTTTCCACACAGATTGATTTGGTCTGTACTCAATTCAGATTATAAAATTAGGTATTTGGCCTGGAAAACTTGTTTGAGGAATTCTTTTAAGTAATCAATACTTAAATTAATATGCTTGGACTTTAGTCGACAGCGTTCGCCTAGCATAAGCAATTCAGTCACGTACTAGCATAATGAGGAGGCTAATATTTTGAATTCTCACTAAGAGAAAGCAAACCTTTGTATATTATCCTGATATATTTAAGATGGAGGTTTTGTGTTTCGCTTTTAATGTTGGTTAGTTCAACTCTAATTTAAAAGGTATGATGTGTTTGTTTGTGGGTCAAAGAATTAAGGGCTTGTCCAATATAGATCCCTACATTTTCTATTTCATAGACATATACTCATCACTCTATAAATCAGTGTAAAACCCAATTTCAAATTTAAATTACCAGTAGGATATAAGAGGTCGTAGTATTTATATGTTTTTACATCGTTGCCACCAGACTTCATATTTATTTATAATTTATTTCAAGCTTTTCATTAACTGCCATAATTGTAATTAATACTCCCTATTAATAGCATATCAATCACCCCATTTCTTTTGGTTGCCATTGCCCCATAAAATTGCAAACCAAAAAAAAAATTTGTAAATTACATATCCAATAATGTACCTATGAAAAATATAAATATAAATATATACGTATAAAAATACAATAAATAGATTTGCAATTAAATTCAAATCAAATATGATAATTAATAGGGAGCTTTAGTTTTAAACCATAATATAGTTTACTAATTTAGTAGAAAGAAATACAATTTAGTCTAATTAGCAAAAGGCCAAACACCAAAATGTAACAAAAATACCATTACAAAATATGAAAATTACAACATATGCCATTTTCAGTATTTAGTTTTAAACCAAAGCTGAAAAACGACATCAAACCAAAACTAAACAAAAACTGAAATTGAATCACAACCCATTCGCGCGACCTTTCAACTTCACCTCCAGAAACCTCTTCAACTTCACCTCCAGACCACCAACGATCATCGAAGACCACCAACGATCGAAGCAGATTCTTCATCTCAGTTTTTGGTTTTGGTTTTCTGCATCTCAATTTCTGCAGTTTTCTGCATCTCAGTTTCTGGTTTTGGTTTTCTGCATCTCATTTTCTGGTTTTGGTTTTCTATATCTCATTTTCTGGTTTTGGTAGAAAGAAATACAATTTGGTTTTCTGCATCTCAGTTTCTGGTTTTGGTTTTCTGCATCTCATTTTCTGGTTTTGGTAGAAAGAAATACAATTTGGTTTTCTGCATCTCAGTTTCTGGTTTTGGTTTCGTTTTCGTTTTCTGCATCGCAGTTTCTGGTTTTGGGTTACGTTTTCGTTTTGGTTTTCTGCATCTCAGTTTCCGCTTTCGTTTTCGTTTTCGTTTTCGTTTTGTGTTTTGAATTGCTCATTTTATATGTCTTCTATGTTTGATTAAAAGCCTTTTGGATTGCTCTTTTTAAAATAGGGTTTTCTGCATAGCATTAATGGAAACTGCAATGCCAAGGAAATAGTTCTACTCTTCTCTTGCCCACCCAATTCCTCATCTGGGTAGCCTTTACTCTTCAAATTGGTGAGGTTGAAGGCCAAAGAAAGAGCAAAAATCCAATTGTAATTAAATGAAAACTGCAATGCAGTTTCCAAAACTGCCATGTAGAACCTGTATAAAATTTCACCTACTGAAAAATAAAGAAATATAATGCTGCAAGCAGAAACAAAAGACAGAGACATGAAGAAATACAATCAATCATACCCAAATCGAATATAAATCCAAATATTATGTACAAAAATCATGTAGGATCATCTTCCACCAAATTTTTTTTGTTCTTACACCCTGGCTCAAGGGACACAGATCCACAACCACAAAGCCAACCAAGAGTAGCAGATGCTAGACCTGTAGACTCAGCAAGATAGCGATCGTAATCGCTCTTCATCTTGAGCTAGAAGACCTTGGAGTTACCGCTGAAGGCCGAAGGGATGAGCAGCTTGAGAATTCCATCGCGGCCGCAAGTGAAGGCTATGGTCGTCGTTGCTGCAGAGAGAGAGAGAGAGAGAGAGAGAGAGAGAGAGAGAGAGATCTAATCTGATAAAAAAGGGAGATGAGCAGTGGGAGTTACGGTGGTCGCCGTTGCTGCGAAGAGAGAGAGAGAGAGAGAGAGAGAGAGAGATCTAATCTGATAAAAAGGGAGACCAACCCTAATATTTTAATAAAAATGGTATAATTGTCTAATTTTAGCTGGCCCAACAAATCTGGGCCTACTCTTTGGCCTAATCTAAAATACCTATTCTTTTATGGGTATTAAAACCCAAACCAAAATACCTAATGTCTCATATCCAAATTACTAAAGTTAATTATGTCTAATACCTAATTTTCCTAAAATATAAATATATTATTTAAATAAAATATAGGTATATTATTTACCAAAAAAAAATTTTAAAAAAACTAAGTTAGTTACTTTGTAATTGAAATTTCCGTACATTTTTCATTAATTAAAAATAAGTACACAATAATTTATGGAAAATATAGGTACATTATTTACGCATAGGTAAATTATTTTACAATATACCTATAAATGTGTATATGTACATTATTTGGAGAGGAAAAATAGGTTCATTTAAAAAAAATACATACATTGTTCTACTAGGTACATTATTAGAGAAAAAAATAGGTACATTTTTTGGAGAGAGAAAATAGGTTCATTTAAAAAAAATTGTTTTCCATAAAACAAATAATAGGTACTTTATTCAGAGAGAAAAGGGTACATTATTTAGAGACAAAAATAGGTATATTATTTAGAGAAAAAATAGGTTCATTTAAAAAAAATGTTTTCATAAAACAAACAATACATAGATTATCAAAATATTTTTCAACATAATTAGAATATACACTGTTATTCATAAAACTATAATAAAATAGATTACTAGTAGTATAATTCATAAAAGGAAAACAACAAAAAAAAAATTATTAAATAAACCAAAACGTTAATCACATGTAGATTACTAATACGTTAATGTTGAATTTAATATTTAATTTCAAATAAGTTTCTAAATTAATTCCTATATCCATTACAACCATTTGAATATCTTTTCAAATTCAACATGTGTCATTAGTTACACCCCCACATAACACGTTAACTTGTAAATAGGGGTAGTTTTGGAATCCAAAAAATAGAATAAATCAGATTTTAAGCTAGATTAGGTAACTTGCTTACTTGGATCAGGTTTTATTTGAAAAATTGGGTATTTTAAATAGAAAAATAAAGGAAAGGGTTATAGGTGATTAAAAATGAATTTTATGGGTCTAAGCTCAATTTACTAAAGAATTAATAAAATATGTCACATAATTAATCTAAATTCACATTGATACATTGTGAGACAAAAAATTTGTATTTAGAAAACAATAATAGAATGTACTTCGGTCCTTAGCCTTAGCTGGGACATCCAATGGTAGGATCAACGATGCTAACGAAACTGGAGCTGAGCTATTTTTCGAATTCAACGGCCAAAATGCGAATTGGGCAATGTACTATTGCAAAAAATTATTAAATTTTATATGAATGGGAATTGTTTCGTGTGAGTTCATTTTTGGGAAGTTTAAGGATTATATGATTAATTTCCTAGGGATGTAATTTGTTGAGATTTTATCGAAAACAAAGAAGCTTCGAATTAACACACAAAAAGGGAGACATAACTCTTGTATATGCAAACTTTTATTTGTATTATTTTTAACAAACATACCATTTTCATATTTGACAAAAGTGAGGCTTGCAGAAATTTTGGTTAGACCTAACTAAGCAAATCTTCTAAGCGAAAACAAAAACCCAAAAACCAGTTGAATTATAGGGAGTCTCTAACCATATGATATCCAATATATTAATTTTAATAGATCACTCAAATAGCCACTGATTCTCCTTACGAATCTCCTCTTTTCACCATCCAGTCAAAATGTTCTTCAAAACCATCTGTCCATTTTACTGACGCATATAGATACCATCAAATGGAGAAGATGGATAGATTTGTCATGTAGTCATCATGTCTGTGTCGTTATTTCACGATGTAAACAATTGTGTGGTGAAAACATGTAAGCATGTTGATGACATTAGATTTTATGTCTGCATGTGGAAAACAGTATTTGATGACTAAAACAATGATTGGTTTGTCTTGAGCTCCTGAATTATTATTTGTGTATTGAATTCATTCGCCATCCAAAAATTTCAATCTGGAATGGTAAATTTCCAGCTTCAAAACAAAACAAAACAAAACTCAATTTATTATTTTGAGTTTAACTCTATTGCAATCCATAGAGTAACTTGGCTAATTTGCAAACTTGGGAAGAGCCAATTAGAAAAGTCATTAAGTTCTTAACATAATTGGTTAATGCTGTTCATTAATCTTTTACGTAACATAATTGGTTAATTAAGATCGTCATTAACTTTGTTCCTGCATATTTTTTCGTCGTACGTCTTCTTCAGTTGCATACTAAACTGAGACAGAACCAAAACCAGCCACCGATTCGAAGAGAGTACTCTGGTCTAGTGACTTGTCTCGTGAAGTCAATTCCCATTGCCTTATATATATATAAAAGCTAACATGTTGAACGTGAAATTAATAGAATGGCCCTTGTATGAATGCAAATGATTTCCTGTGAGTCCAGTTTAGTTATTTTACGATTAATTTCCAAGAGATGTAATTTGTTAAGAATTTATCGACAACAAAGAAGTTTCGTAACACAAAAAAGATGAGACATAACTCTATCATTAGAAATATTTGACAAACAAGGTTTTGCAGAAATCTTGGTTACATCTGAGCAATCACCAAACAAAAAAATTTATTTTTAAAAAAAAAACAGTTGAATTATAACTAGAAAAAAAAATAACATAAAGTCAAATTATGTATTAATAACATGTATGTAAGGGGATCTCTAACTCTCTCACTCGAATGCCCACTGGTTCTCCTTACGAATCGCCTCTTCTTCCTCAGGTGTGAAGTCATTCTTGATGTTGAAGGTCTCACGGATCTCTTCAGGTGTCTTTACCTTAATCATGTCTGCCACAGTCTGGCAGGTCAAATCCAGCAAGCTCTTGATGTTGAGATAGTTTGCAACCAAGATTAAGTCAAACAGGGTACACTGGTCCACCTTCACGAACCCAGCATCCCAGTTCTCAATGTCCTCTTTGTTCTTCTCGCCATCAGCATCCTCTTCATGGTGCTTCTTGCAGTACTCGATCACCTTCGCTAGGATGTTGCTGGTCACGTTCTGCAGAGGTATTGCGCCGTCGGCGCAGTCGTCCTCCACCATGTGCCTGATGGTCTGCGACTGCATGGCCACAGCCTCCTCCACCTCAAAGATCTCACCGTCGTCGCTCTTCAGGGTTATCTTCTTCATCTCAACGGAGGCCATTGTTTTGGTCTTGGTAATATTAACTAAGACTTTGAGTTGAGAACTTGGGAGAGTTTTTCTTTTCTGGCTTTGGTTGAGAGATTTTGATTGCAAAAGTTGAGAGACTTTGGGGTGATTTTATAGCCTCCTGATAATACCTTGTCCGTGTAGGAAAAGGAGATATATATATTATGATATTAGGAAACATTCTCATACTAGGAAAAGGAAAGTGGCGGAAGGCCCCTATAACAAATAGGAAAGGGAAAGTTTTATTTTTATTTTATATTTTTTCTTCGTTGCTGTTTATTGTCATATATCCTTTTTCATGCAGCTTGATTTTATACAACCCTATTATTGGGCAAGATTTTGGTAGAAGATGCTGGGGGGCTTGGCTGCACTAATTAAGGATGGGATGACATTGACCTCTTGATCTATCTTAATCCTAATGATTTACCCTGATGACTTAGTTGTTGGCTCGTTATGCGTTAACAAAGAGACTAAAATGAAATGTAAGATTGATACAATTTCAATTACTGAAATCAAGCAACGATTGGACCCAAAAATAAGAGCAAAATATAGGAAGAAACACAGCACACCTTTTAAAATAGAGTTGAAGAAACCAACAGTTGAAGTAAAACTCTAAACCTCCATGTTAAAATTGAAATAGTAGCAACACATTTTCCTTCATCTCTATCAGGATAATATACAAAGGTTTGATTTCTCACTGAAAATTCATAATACAGCCTCCTGAATATGCTAGCACATGAGAAATTCGGATGCTAGGTTGACCTCGGTTTCATTCAGATTGACTAAAGTCCAAGCATATTAATGTAACAATTACAGACGTCAAAGAAAATAGTTGCTAGTTGTCGCCTTCGGTAAACTCCCAATCATTGATGAAGGATAAAATATTAACCCTAATGCCAGATATTCTGGACGGCCTGAACCTGGTTTGCGGCTCAACCTGCAAATCATTCCACTACATGCAAGAGGAGAATTGGAAAATGAACTCTGACTTTTATCAAACCTGGATGGCTTCAGATGAACTTAATTTACAAGCAATATTTTTAGCTCAGATATTTAATAATTAAATGAACCCTTGACACCCTCAAGGCTCTCTCCCAAAGATAACCTGCAAGGAAACATGTATCAAGAGTTACAAAACAAGCCCAAGTAATTTGCCAATGCCTTGATGCAATTATTTATGTAGGTAAACTGTCTCTAGGTTGAATCGGAAACTGTAAGATAACAATGACTAAAAAATGAGAAAGAAAAGGTTGCAGTAGACACTAGCAACTTTTACAACACCAATACAAGTAATCTCAAAAAACCAACACAAAATTACTCGACCAGCCTGGCAAACTAAGCACAAAATATGCTAAGTTTGGATGCTTAGGACATGCAGCTCATCCCATTATCAACAAGCACGCCCATATGCATGTCATTTTTGAAACTATAATAAACTAAAATGCATACATTTAAGTAGCCTGAACAATTGACTTGTTGCATAATTCAAAGGACCTTCTAGCTCCAAAAGACATGTTTTAAATTTTTTTTTTTGTAAAAAAAAAGCTCCAAAAGACATGCTATTCTCCATCACCAAAATAACCTAGTTTTATAGGTGCAGGATTAGTCATCTGATTTGACTTTTTATATATACACTTTCACTTAAATAAAAATCACAACTTCCTTCAAGGCTCTATATACCACAAAAGACAGCAGGGTAGCATTATCTCAGCAGTAGGAGAACCTACTCTGCCAATATAACTTCAGCATCTTAGTAAGTACAGAAGCAAGGAATTATACTTTAACATCACTGCCATAAAGCAACGAATTCCTCATCAAGTTTTCAAGCCACTTCCAGAAAGACCTAATTTATAATATGAATTGAGTGTAGACCAAATAGGCATGATCCACATCACTATCTGCTATTACCAAGTGACAATAAGGTTCATATCCTCACACTAAATAACAATAATCTTTGTAACATGTCCAACGTCCAGATCAGTTATTTTATTTTTATTTTTAAGTAAGAAATTTATCACATTGGGCATAACCAAGAATTGAGGAATGAGAGGGAAAAAAAATAAGAAATAAGAAATAAGGATAGCACAAAATCAATCTGCATTGAAAAACTAGAATAGATCTATCTTTTATTTTTTTTGGTGTCGAAAGAAAGGATCTATCAAATCCACTCAAAAATCCATTCCACCATTATATCCCTCAACTCCCATTAAAGAACAGTCTTCTCCCTAAAGAAATTATCTTCCTCAATTGCCAGATTTGATCCGATTCGTAATAAAATTTGGTGCTAGTAAATACGAAAGGTGGCTGCTGGTATAACCCGAAAGACCACAAACCACTGGAGACTGGCCTTGATGAGCACCACCAACACTGAATTAAAAACTGAGAAAATAGTGATAACATTTTAGAAGGAAGAGAAAGGTTCAAGAATTTATCCCAGATGTCAAATGATAGTGCGATACTCAGCTTGCCAACCTCCATTAGGTAGGGGATCTTTATGAATGCCAACTATTTGCTAGTCAGTACAGTTCTGAGGATATGTTTCAGTATAATACCAGAAATTGTGTCCTTTAAGAGGTCCTAGACTGGTCCAACAACTGCCCTTGACTATTACTACCTTTAACCCATCACAACACAACCTAAGTGTCTACTAGACAAATTAGCCAACAGGCGGGTTAACACAAGCTAATATGAAAACCCAACAAAGAAAAAAGTCCCTAAGGTGCCCCAACACTCAGCTGCAAAATGTAAAACAAAAACAAACTTTTTCCTTTAATCAGCCAAATCAATTTTGTACTGTTGGCTAAGGTATCGCAATCATCTCAAGTTTTCTAATTCACATACAGAATACAAGAGCAGCCAAGGCTACATTCATACATTCAGGAAAAAGAGGCTTGACTTTTCACCTTCTTAGTGAAACAGTTGGCAGTTCTCAACCTTTTTTCCTAATGAAAAGAAAAAGAAAAGTCTTTTTTTCCAAGGAAATAAAAATAAAAAGTTGGTGATTTGATGTTCTCAGCAATCTTTACCATTGACCCCTTCAAAAATCCAGCAATCAAATGTAAAAACTACATTTTTGGAACTATGGCCCTTATGTTATCTTCAAAATTCTAATTATCATGTTGCATCAACTCAATCGTACAGCAAAAAAAAATTAATATCCCTAAAGACATGGAACTTACTTGTGCATACAGTACTTGAACTCTTGGCCCCTAACTAGATCTTTCTCTCCTTCTTCAAGCTACAACCAGAACACATGCCCGATAAAATAATAAGTATAACAGAACCAAGCCAACAAAGGAGAGTATAAAATAGTCCATCTTACCGGATCACTCTCGTAGACAAGCTCATAACAAGTTGAAGAAAGGCATCGCAAAGCACAATTCTCTTTTGCTATCAAAGAAGACTTGCATTGCCAACCCCACAATCCGCTATTCCCATAGTGAAAGGAAAAAAAAAACAAGGAGCAATCAGAGCACTATCATATCTATGATTTGCAGGCTGACAATATGCTTACTACTAGGCAAAGCACAAAAAATTAGTAAATGGGAAATTAAAAAGAGAGGAGGTTGGTACCTCTCAATATCTGCATAACATTGGTTCTTCTTTTGCCTCGTCTCAATATCCTGCCAAATACCCACATACAAAAACCCATCAAAATTCAGAATTAATAAAAAGAAACAAAAATCCCAACAAGCATAGTATCGAATAAAGAAATTAACAAAAAGTAAGAAACAGAGGCATTACAGAGATTGGGCGACGAGACTTGGCGAGAACTGTGGGAGATAACAACAACAATAACAAAACTAAAAGCACTGGAATTCCGAGCGAGGAAGAAGATGAAGAATGTTGATTCACCATTCTCTTTTCCTTCTTCTGGGAGTTGAATTTTGAACAACTATAACTTTCTCTTCTTGTTTCCGTCCTTCAAGTTTGTGAGATGAGCTGCACGGACACCTGACTCGACTTGGGCTCAGCTCAGTTCTCTGGAGACGCTGCTGGATCAAGCTAATAGCCCAATTATCATCCCCATCGTTCGGCCCGTAAATTACTTTAATACAACCAATTTGACCCACTTTGCCCAACAAATTTTTTTGTTTTTTGTTTGGTTGGGACCAAAATTTTGTGCTTAATGGTCTTGCAGTGGACTCTTTTATAATCTATTCTATGCTATTATTTAAGAAATTTATCTTTTTTTATTTAAAAGGGTAAAATATCAATTTTTCTAACTATAACCAAACCATTCTGATAATTGATTTCAACTAGAATTATATAAAATAAAATAAATTTATTCAAACGATAGTCTAAAATAACTCTAATCGATGTGGAGGGGGAATCGAATGAGGATTTCACTAATAAACCCATTTTACCATGACATAATACAAAAAAATTCTTATGAACCCTATTTGGAGTGAAAAACCCAAAACTAGCCACTTGTCATTTTCTAATTGGTTCTTAATGTGTTAAAATTTTATAATAACCAATTAGAAAATAACAAGTGATTAGTTTTGGGTTTTTCTCTTCAAATAGACTTTATATGAATTTTTGTATAATATGTCATGATAAAATAGGTTTTGAATAAATATCTAGACCAAAATTTGGGTGCAAGGCGCAAACTCACTCCATGGCCAACTAACCTAACATCTGCAGTATTAAAACTTATATATAGAAAAATTTAGTACTTCAAAGTAGGGGTGGGCGCGGTTCAGTCCGATCTGATTTCCACCTTACACCAGAAACTGCTATGATTTAATTGGTGTAGTTCGGTCCCATTTTGGTGAAAAAAAAATTATGAAACCGGTCGGTACCGTTTAAACCTGTTCCTGTGCGGTTTCCAGTTTTTTCGATTTTGGATAGGATATTATTTTATTTATTTTTACAAATTTCAACTAAAATTTTATTTTTTGGGCTTAAAGTTTCACAAATAATCTAATTTTATGTAAAAAGAGATGATTGGGCCTGGAAAAGAAAGGTGCTTTGAAGTTGAGCTTGGGGAAATATTAGTTATGGAATTAGAAATTTAGCATTGAACTTAAATAATTTTTAAAAAATAAAAATAATATGCAACTGGTCCAGTCCGATTCGATTTTGTAAGTTGTGAAACCGACATCGAAATCGATTTGAACCGATCTAGTTTGGTGTCGATTTGTTGACTTTTTAGTCAACATTGTTTTTTTCTGGTTTTTTCCATCCGGTGTGGCCCAGTGTTCCGATTTTCTGGTCTCGATTCCCAACCCTACTTCAATAACAAACTTATATATTTAAAAGCTAACTACAAAAGACCCATTAGGTCATTTTCAATATAGGCCATGGGGTTTCAATTTTATAAATTTACACCCTCAGGGCTTGGTTGGTACGTCGGATTGTACTGAATAATTTATTTCGAATAGTATTTACTATTTTATCCATAATATTATAAGGTGTTTGGTGTTTTTCCAGATAAATAGTCTAACTAAGTTATACATATGATAAGATTTTTATTTTTATTTTTATTTTTTTTTGCAAAATCTATAAGACAAGATTGCATCAACTAACTCAATATCATAATTGTAGAACTTGGGACGTTTATTGATGGGAAAAAAAAAATCACATTTTGATATATTAAAAAAAAGGAGAACTTGCATAAATACCACATGAACTTTCAGGCATGTGCGTTGTTACAACCTGAACTTTTAATTTTTATTTTTAACCACCTAAACTTTGTAAAGTGTTGCAATCCACTACCTACGTCTAACTCCATTAAAGTTTTAGTTAAATTTAAGGGTATTTTCGTCAATTAACTATAATTAAGAATAATTATATATAAAAAATAATTAAAAATACAAAAAAATAAAGCTAACCTCCATATCTCTCTCTCTTTTCTCTACTCCATCGTCTTTATTCCACCAAATATCATATCATATTGCAATGGTCCATTGATTTTGTTGCCTTCCTGTATTTCCTTCTTTCTTTTTTTTTTTTTGCCAAAACCTTCCCGCATTCATTTCATGGCTTGCACTCTTTGTTCAAAGGCTTGTCCTTCATTTCAATACAAATTCAGACTACAATTACTCTCTCTCACCCTCAATCCAGCAAATTCAAAAAATTTAACATCAAAGCTAGAATTTAAATTTTGTAACTTCATCATGGGTTTTGGGAAGGAATCAATTGCATTCTTAGTATATATAAATATCCCAAAAAGGTCCTAAACATCTGCAATTGACAAACAATTTCTAGGATTGCCTAAATTCAAGTACCAAAACACCAATGCAGTCCTTATACAAGACATGCCTATAATAAACTCCAAATTAATTAGAAAACAGAAATATAACCAAGCAATTAAGTCCTCTATGATCTCTAAATCTCTGTCTTCTTAGCAAGAGACTTGAGCCTAAATTTCCTTGTTGTGTTGGTTGTCACAAAAGAAACGGGTTGTGATTCCATTGGCAAGCTAGAGCTTGGTTGGTATGTTGATCTATTTGCTAAATTTGGTTGAATTGTTTGTTCACTAATGGTGTGTGCAGAGGGTGGGTTTTTTTTTGCTGTGGGGCAAATTGACATTGGAAAAGTTGGAAAAGTTGGAAAAGTAGGAGTAGGGATAGGGTGAAGGCGTTGTAATTAGGTTAACCTCTTTTTTAAAATCTGTTTTTTTATATAATTATTCTTTGTTATAGTTAATTGACAAAAATACTATTAAACTTAACGGAAATTTTAACGGAGTTAGACGTAGGTGGTGGATTGCAACACTTTACAAAGTTCAAGTGGTTAAAAATAAAACTTAAAAGTTCAGGTGATAATGATGCACATACCTGAAAGTTCATGTGATATTTATGCAAATTTCCCTATAAAAAAAAAAACTTATTTTCTGATGGTTTTTGTGTTGACATCGTCCTTTTACCATCCTCCTCTAAACGAGATTTTACTAGACAGAGTCAAATCCTGGTTGAATTGCTCTGACATCTTCAGCAACCCAACCCAACAAACAGGTCATACATTAACCCAACAAACAAGTCATATATTAATTTGCAAATCAAAATGAAGAAAATTGTTGCAAGGAGAGAACGTCAGAGCCGAACTTGGACTCGTTAAAATCTCCCTCGATAGGTGGAGAAATATCCGTTGATTGCAGAATTGACTTCGTGATGTTCTCTTTATCCTGGGGGCTTCTTCAATTGGGTATGCAAAGCCCACCAGCCCAACCCCAACCGTTGACTGGGTGCCTCTTGCATAGGAAAACCATAGGGAGAAGAAGATGAAAGTGTATGATATTTCACCATTGTTTTTCTTTCCTCACGTATTATTTAAACCGAGGTGTGTGTAGGTTGTATTCATTAGCCAAGTAAGGAGAGTATTAAAAGCCCAAACCGTTTAAAATAGTCAAGTAATTAAATAATACAAGTTGACGATATGAACTATTTACTTCTATCCAATGTACGAGCCCTCAATGTTTGTTTTCAAACATGTCCATTTTTTTTTATATGAAGACAAACATGTCCAATTTAATAAACCGTGTGGTTGGAATATTGAATCTCAATTCTCCCTGTGTTATTCAATGAGGATTGTGGTGGAAAATACACGATCTCATTCAACTTACATTCTCAATCAACCCAGACAAGATTGCTGACTTCTTCCATTTCTCGTCTTCTCAGACCAATTTGGACCTCTCATCTTGTTCAACGAATGCGACTTACCTTGAGGTTGAAACTTGTTCGTCCAATGTTGGAGAAAACTCTGAATACGAAAGAAATAAATCAGTGATGGTTGATGGCCTTTGCTCATGACTCATTCAAATCTCACGCCAACCAGAAATGTAAATGATTATAAAGAGGGCACATTATAGGGTAAATGTTACAAGAACTGACAAAGAAAAAATCAACTATCTTTCCCTCCACAGCTCCACTAAAAAAGTATTTAATAATTTGATACGAGCTCCTTGTACACTCACTACTAATTAATATTTATTGCTATAAAGGATTTGAAAATACCTATAAAATTTTCATGTTGAAATCCACTCATTTCCCTGAATAAAATTCTGCACAGAATATGTATTAACATGTTCAGATGGGATCTTGCTGCTAAATGACACTCTCTTGGACAAATCAGAACCAGCTCCAGAATTACCAAATTCCCCATAGAAAAGGGTTTTCAAAGCAAAGTCCCCACTCCAAGGCATCCATCCCTCTGGGGTGACAAGAGCTTCCATGTTACAGTTAATAAAAACTGTCCTCGAATACTCCTTCCATGGCCTCCCCAAGTAGTTCTTGTGCACTTGGGGCTTGCTGCGATACAACTTCATGTACTCTTCCGTGCCGTTGATCAAGCAGTTCTGAAATACAAAACCCGTCAACTGTGCGGGGTCTGTTCTGCCATGGGCGGTGACTGCGTTGTTTTCGCCTTTCTCGGGTGTTTTGATACAGCTTCATGAACTCTTCTGTGCCGTTGATCAAGCAGTTCTGAAATACGAAACCAGTTGATTGTGCAGGGTCTGTTCTGCCGTGAGCTGTGACGGTGTTACTTTCCCCGTTCTCAGGGTTTAGTTGTCGAGGGCGGACGAGGATGTTGCAGTCTTGGAAAACCGCAGCTGAGTTTCCGAAGATGAAATCGACATTGCCTTGGATGTTGCATGACTTGTAGAACTGGCGGTTGCTGTGTGCGTAGAGAGTGTCCTGGTTGCCTAAGAATTCACAGCTCTCAATCACAGAGAGATCACTGTCTAATCTGAAGGCTACTGCTTGGTGGGCATCAGGGCCTGCTGTGTTCTGGATTGTGAGGCCACTGGCCATGAACCCATCACCAAGAACTCCTGTATAACAAGTGTTAAGAAAACAATTAGCATCCTTAGTTGCTCAGGAGCATAACAGGAAAAAGCTCAAAATGAGAATCAAAACAATAAACATGTGCCAAACTAAAGGAAACGCATTTCTGTTTTGTCCTAGGACAAAATTATTGCTTATTGCTCAAAATAAAGACGTTCCTCGGCAATATCATCACAACTCCCAAATGCGCAACAGCAATACCAAACCAAATACGACAAGTAGTGGAATCTTAAGCTAAGCCTTCGAAATCAACCCAAAAATCTTAGCAGCCAGCCATTATCCTAATCACCCATACCTAACAAGATTAATTGAACAAACTCTCAATCTCTTACCATTCCCACTAAATACTTTATGTCTCAAAGAACGAGTTCATTTTACGTCAGAAACACATAAAAGTATAGCCGCAGTTGGGCAACAAGCAATCACCCATGCCGCATATGCCTAGTTTCCCACCATTCTCTACATTTACAAAATTACAATTGCTTAGATGGACCGCACCATAAGAGTGTGTTCCAGCATGTACTGCACCCATCCTCCACAATTATGTGGGTGCGGACCCACACCACCGCACCACAAATAGTGTGATCCAGCATCTACTGCATTTTTTTCACTACCAAGTTGGAACAGCACTTGTGTGATTAAAATAAAATTAAAATTAAAATTAAAATTAAAAAAGTGATGCAACGACTAATGACCTACCTACTGTGGCAGTGTTGTACGTGGAAATTCCGGGCTGGCCCACATTCAACGACCCAGTAATTACTGTTTTGCCCATCCCGTCGCCCAAAAACACCACGTTCCGCTTCTCTAAGGGCACCCTCACGATCTCGTCGTACACCCCAGCCTTAATACGAATCACGAACTTCTTCGCTCCCGCGTTATCCGGTGCGGCGTTTACCGCCTCCTGCACCGTCCTGTAGCATTTCTCGCTCTCCTCCTTGCACACCGTCACGTCCGCCTTTAAACCCGGCGGCACTCCGACCCGAACCTCCTGGCCGGACCCTCCACCCTCGACCCGCTCCCAGAACCCGTCGCGCTCGGTCTTGGGAGGGGCCCACGACTTGGTGTCGTTCCCGAAGTTGTCGTACGAGAACATCATGCTGAGGGCGTTGCTGGATTTTCCGATCAGCGAGTCGAGAAACGACATCGTTTGGTTGACCATCTGTGTGTCGTTGGCGTACTTGAGGGCCGACCAGCAGTCGTATTGGTAGAGTAGCGCGGCGCTCATCGAGGCACGTGCGTTTCTAATGCTTCCATGTGACAGGCTGTCGGTGGAGAGCGAAATGCGGTACTCGGAGTTGCCGAGGACGTCGACGCAGTTTTTAGAGGCGGTGGTGCGGTTTTCGTTGCCTGCGGACGAGTCTAGGATAGACTTGACCATCTTCTGCGCTGTGTGCAGGCCATCGATGGACACCTGGACGGCGGACTGGATGGTCTGGATTGGGGTGGTGTTCGGGTCAGTGACAAGCCCGGCTAAGGAGGCCTGACACGCGTCGGGAAAGCGCGTGGCTTTGCAGGCTTGCTGGATCTGAGGGATGGGGGAGATGACGCGGCCGCGCGGCGGGTGGTGGTTGCGGGCGGCGGAGGTGAGAGAGAGAAAGATAGTGAGGGAGAGGAGGGCGAGGAAGAGGAAGGAGGCCATGGAAATGAGAAAGAGGAATTTGGGTTTGGGGGATGAAGAAAAACATGGTAGCTTGATGGGCTTTATGGGTTTTCGAAGATGATGGGTGGTCATGGCGTGATTGGCTGCGTTATGAATTTGGGTGCGGAGTCAATGGGTCAATTTTAGGAATTGGAAGTTAGTGGGTTTTGGTACTTGGATTTGGTTTGTTTGATTCTGGTTTAATTTTAGGCAATAGGAATTGAATTCACGAGACAGGTCACGGGCATGGCTTTTGGGGATTTTGGTTGCTCTGTGTGTCACGGATTTACAGAGAGCTAGGACAGGTTTGGGGATTTGGAGATTTCAGTGGAAGAAGGAAGGCCATCTGGCGGATTTGAATTGGGCTCGGGAAAAAGGCGAGCAGTAAACCACTGATCCGCAGCTCAATTATTTCTCTTTTGGTTTTGGAATTTGGATTCTTCGAATCGGTGGATGGTGGAGAGAGTTTTTGGTTTTGTTTTCAGTTTAGTATGTAACTGAAGGAGAAGAAGATAAAATATGTAGAATAACAACTCAATGGACTTTTCTAATTGGTTTACTGTTTTACTTTTTTTAACGGGTCAATGGTATCTTGACGAAACAAGAAGATAACAAACAAAATACTAATTCCCGTGTCTCGTTTATGACAAACACATGTACTACTAATTTGACGGTATCTGTTTCATACAACGGCAATAATACTTTTTTGTTACTTCTGCCAATAATGTATTGGTTAGAATAGAAAAGTAGTATTATCTCCGTTATAAGTAAATTTTTCTACTATTTCATAATATGAACAGAATTTTGCCCAAATAGGAAGAAAATATACATATTAACGAATATTGTAAACATGATCATTTTCCTATTAAGATTTTGAGAAGTATAATATGGTCAATGTAGACAATCTGAGGTTTTGTTGTCAAACAGTAGGGAGATTGCATTAATAAATTATGCAACGATATACATTTCAAAAGTACCATATTTTATTATACTCTTAAAGAAGCATCCAATTCTGATTAGCCTCGATTATCTTCATTTATATATATATATATATTTGACTTTGCTTCTTCCTTCAATTAATTTCTTTGATTTCTTCATATTCTCCATCGATTGTATTGTTTGACTTTTTTAGTTTCATGCCTTTGAAAAAAAAAAAAATCATTACGCCATTATCTTAAAATTAAACTATATTTCACTATAATTATAAAACAAATCAGCGCCTGCAAATTGTTTCCACTCTTTGTGTTGTGACTAAATTTGCACAAAGAATGGAAACAATTTGCAGATCATGCCATGTTTTACTTAGGCCAAATTCTTCATGAAACTTTTTGAACTGCAGAGTATTTCTTTTGTATAAAGAAGAAAGATGATATATAATTCTCATGGCAGCACTTGAAGGAGAGGAGGAGATCGGCGAGACAAAGCAATTAATATAATCGAAATTTCACAGATTAATTAACAAGCCCCTCCTCTGCATGTGATGCAGCACATGTACCCAATACTTATGATAAAAGAGTTTTTTTTTTTATTTTATTTATAAAAACAATTAATGAAATATTATATAAGTACATGATCTTCATCAAGGAGAGTGGTAAATTTATAAGGTACAAGTTACAATCCCGGTCAGTCGCTCTCTAGTTTATGCGAGGAGGGCCTTGACGGTTAGGGTTAGGGTTTCTTCAGTTTTCTTTACTCATTTTCTGCGCCGTTTCTCTCAATCTTCTCTGATTGTCTTTTTTGGTTCTTCTTGGTGAATTGGGTATGACGTATTTTTTTGCTCTTTTGTTCTCCGTGGGGTGGCTGTGTTGGCTTTCTTTGTGGGTTCCCAAGGAGCCAGTCGCTGGTGAGGGGTCTCCATCTTAACGCTATGGAGATGGCCACCGCCTCTTCTGCTCAAGGGGATGACAAGTATGTGACACTAAGTGGGAATTAGAAGCGTGCGAAAACTAGTGCTAAGCATCTGATTGTTAGTGGCATGGATTTTTCTGGTAAGCATAGTTTTTGTATCGAGGATTTTGTTGACAAGGCGAAGAAGACCAGCCTCGAGGGTTCTCCAAGATCTCCCTAATAATTCTCCTACGGAACGTTCGTGGGCTTGGCAACTGATGAACGTTCCTACTATGAATATCTTTCTTTGGAATTTTCTTTTGGCTAAGAGGCCAATGTTGGTCTCCTTTGCTTGTCAGCTGGAGTTTTGGATCAAGAAAATTGGAGGTGGCGGTTGGTGTTTGGCTGGATCTGTTATGATTCTCACAATACGTTTTTGACTATGTACGAAGAACTATGATGTTTTCTTTAAATCATAGGAGGCTTTCTTTGACAGTATCTGCGTAGTGATGAGATGTGTCTCAATGGTTTTGCGGTTGAGTGATTGGCTGGATCTATTATGATACTCATAGTACGTTTTTTACTATGTACGAAGAACTATGATGCTTTTTCTATATCTTAGGAGGACTTCGTTGACAGTACCTACGTAGTGATGAGATGTTGTTTTCAGGGTTATGTGGTTGGGGTTTAGGTAGGTTTGTTTCGTATAAGTTGTTTGACTCTTCTCTTTAGTCAATAGAATGTGTGGTACTCTTTCCTATCCCGGAATTTTGTTTCTCTGGGAAGATTTTAACGAGGCCGCCGTTAAATACTAGTTCTTACCATGTAATGTTCATTTCGGTTTAATGAAATACTATCTTTTCTATAATAAAAAAAGTGTTACAACCACGGTCAATTTTACAGATCTTCATATCATTTTTCCTATGTTTGCAAATTGGCACAGTCACTCTATAGATTGAAACAAAGCTTCTAATAGTAGATACGAAAATGCATATTATATTTAAATTCAAATTCATCGGAAATTGCACCAATGAATAGATGTAAAGGGAATGGGAATATGCCACCTGCTATGTTGAAATTCCACAACCACCCCAAACCCCCGGGCGGAAATTGCTCCAATGAATAGATGGAAAGGATATGGGAATATGCCATTAAACTTGGGAGCCTGCTATGTTGAAATTCCTCAACCACCACACCCCAACACCAACCCCCCCTCTTGCGCGCGGGGATGAGGGTTTTTCACACGCACTATCATGGGGATCTCGAAGCTCTGTATTTAGTGATTGTACATTTACCTGCAATTCATAAAATTTGGACCATTTAACTATGCCACATCGGCCACAATAATACCTTACAACAAAAACGATGTTACCTTTATGATCATCTTCTTCAACTCCTCCTCTCTCAACTCTCTGACGCATGTTCCCTCTGTAAGAGCAAGTCCACCCATGAAGGCTAAGGCAAGGCAAAGGCAAGGCAAGGGCTGCTACTATTCATGTGAATAGTGGCAGCCTTGCCTTAGTTGGTTCCACCTTTGGAAGGCTAGGGCAAGGGCAAGAAAAAAAAAAGATTATGCAACAAAATATAAACAATTTAGAAAGTGAATAAAATTGTTATGTATTTATAGGGAAAACATCCATAATATTTTGGTTTTTTTTATAAAAAAAAAAATTGAATTTTTTTGAATTTTTTTTGAATTTTTTTTGCTCGCTGACTTCAGCGTAATATCAACGCTGACGTCAGCGCCTTCGGGCTTGAGCCCAGGCAAGATTTGCCCGTGGGCTTGCCCAGGCTGGTGGGTCCCATGCCTTGCCCGGGCTTGTTCTCTACCGCTGGAGTCGAATTGGGCTTGCCCGAGCAGCCTTTTGCCCGGTTTTGCACCAACGCTGGACTTGCTCTAATGTCTTCACACTTTATTGATATTTTTCTCATCAATTTAATATGAATGGATTTTGGTTAGTAATTCTTTTTCATTGTGATGTGTGAAAAAACCTCTAATAGACAGAATATACTACATCAATTTCTTGAAAGAAAACCTTAATATGAGAAACTAAAAATCTTATAAGAAAGTTGGGTTTAAAAGTCATGCAAAAAAAGCACAAATGTATTGCAAGTTGCAAATCTACTCTTTTGGATAGCTTTCAATTCCAAATCCACTACTACAATTGACTTTTATTGAAAGCTGTAAACATCAGCTGCAATTGATTAGGAACATATTCCAATTGATTGCTATTCTGGTACATAGCGAGGGCTTGGTCGTTTAATTGGAGTTAGACTACCAAGAAGCCAAAAGAGAAAAATAAAGAAGAGAAAAAAGAAAGACCAATTATAAAGAGGGAAGAGAAAGGAGTAGGTGCGACTGCAGACGAAGATGGAGGGATTGTTAGCCGTCTTCATTTTTATTTTTTCCGTTAAAGGGACTGTTAACGTCAATTTTAAAGAAAATTGCAAACTTACTAAGTGGGTGATTTGACATGTTCTCATGCATTGAATTATTTGGATGATCCATATTTTATGAAATGCGAGTAAATGTACAACAATTTCTAAATAGAGAGGCTCGGTATTCCTACCATAGTGCCATGAGAGTTCAAACATGAAACCACTAGTTTGCAAGTCAATATCCATTTTCACTGCCCTAGACCCCGTTGACAAAAACAAAAAACTTCTTTAGGATAGACGTGTGAAAAGTTTTTTTGTTTGTAATTAAATCCTTAAGAAGGTTTTTGTTTGGACCATTAATTAGAAGAACGCCTATGATAGACGTGTGACAAGTTTGGACCATGAATTGGTAGAACTTGGTATTAGGAGCTATACCATTCCAGATTGAAATTTTGGGATGGCGAATGAATTCAATATTATCCTGATACAGATGAAAGAAAAAAACTTTCCCTATCCTATTTGTTACAGGAAAAGGTTTCTAGAACTTTCCCTTTTCTATCTGTTATAGGTCAGACCAAAAAAAAACCTATTCCTACTTGATACAGGGGCCATCAGCCAACTTTCCTTTTTCCTAGTATGAGTATGTTTCCCAATACGAGAAAAAAGAAAAAGAAAATATAATTCGTCTCCTTTTCCTAAAAGGACAAGGTGTTACGAGTAGACTATAAAATCACCCCAAAGTCTCTCAATCTTTGCAACTCAAATCACTCAATCCTTCAACTTCCATAGCCAGAAACGAAAAACTCTCCCAAGTTCTCAACTCAAAGTCTTAGTTAATATTACAAAGACCAAAACAATGGCCTCCGTTGAGATGAAGAAGATAACCCTGAAGACCAAGGATGGTGAGATCTTCGAGGTGGAGGAGGCTGTGGCCATGCAGTCGCAGACCATCAAGCACATGGTGGAGGACAACTGTGCCGACGGCACGATACCTCTGCCGAATGTGACCAGCAACATCCTAGCGAAGGTGATCGAGTACTGCAGGAAGCACAATGAAGAGGCCGCTGATGGCGAGAACAAAGAGGACATTCTGAAGAAGGCCACCGATGGCGACAACAAAGAGGACAGTCTGAAGGACTGGGACGCTAAGTTCATGACGGTGGACCAGGAAACTCTGTATCACCTAATCATGGCTGCAAATTATCTCGACATCAAGAGCCTGCTGGATTTGATCGTCCAAACTGTGGCGGACATGATCAAGGGAAAGATGCCTGAAGAGATCCGTGAGACCTTCAAAATCAAGAATGACTTCACACCTGAGGAAGAACAGAAGATTCGAATGGAGAACCAGTGGGCATTCGAGTGAGAGAGTTAGAGATCCCCTTACATACATGTTATTATTACATAATTTGACATTTTGTCTACTATTTTTCTTCTAGTTATAATTCAACTGTTCTTTTTTAAATAATTTTTTTTGTTAGGTGATTGCTTAGATGTAACCGAGATTTCTGCAAAACCTCTTTTGTCAAATATTTCTATCTAGAGTTATGTCTCCCAGTTTTGTGTGTATGGACGAAGCTTTTTGTTCTCAGATAAATTCTTAACAAATTACAGCTCTTGGAAATTAACTAAACTGGATTCACAGACCAAGTGCAGATTGATTACCTAACTGCTATGATCAATGGTAATGATAACTCATTACCAAACGGCAAAAGTTATCATGATTGCTCCTCTAATTTCTATTGGCAAGAAAAGCATAATCACCAAGATTGACATGCAACCAAAAGATCACAGGCAATAAGATTTATATATATATATATAATTTTTTTTTTCTATTGGCAATATTTGTCAAATACATATCAATATTAAAAAAAAATGCAGAAATCAAGAACCTGATCAAAATTCCTGAGTTGTGCAACTCCTACACATCTTTGTACAGCAACTGATATTTGGGTATTCGTTCCGGCGGCAACGGGCAGCTCACGATCAGCTTCCCTTTCATAGCTCCTCTAAAAATAGCCTCGACGACATCAATGAAGTCCTGTTTTTGCTGAAACGCACCGACCCATTTGGTGTGATCCGCTGTTCCCGAGTCCATCTTCATGTGGTGGGCATTGAAGAAGAAAACCGTCGATGGAATCAGAGTGATGTCGAAGTATTTGGCGTAGACTTGAATGTCCTCAGAATCGATATCGACGAGCGCAATTGCTGCGAAATTTGAGACCTCTCGCGCCGTTTTGGCGAGGACGTCGTCGAGGAGGAGGCAGACGGTATCGGAAGCTCGGCCGAAGCGGAGGACGAGGACTTTGTCGATGGTGGATCTGATGAGAGAATCCACCTCTTGCTTCTTCGTCAGCGTCTTCAATAGGTAGCTCATCTTCCTGCCCTAGAGGCAAAGATTTAAACGCAGTGAAGCAATTCGATAAGCAAGAGATATCAGGAGAATGGGTGCGGTTTGGGATATGAAGGAGATGAGAGAGAGAAAATTAAGATGTTGGGCCTTTGGGCCTCCTTTGGTATATTTTTATTGATGATTTTTTTTTTTAAAAAAAATGTCATAAAAATTGTCAAATTGGGATTTTGGGCTTTGAAAACATAAAGATTTGGAAAAAAATTTGAAAACATCAGTAAAAAAGAAAGCCAACTACAAACAACCTAAGCTATTAAAAAAAGATATTGTTGTTTCCCTCCCGACACTTACGCCACTTTCGCATCACATGCGCACAAACAAACAATAACATATAAATAACAAAATTTCTTATGCACATTAACAAACAAGAAAATACAAACAAAAATGTTCGGAAAGAGTGAAATAACACATTTCGGGAGGCGTCAATGGCCGACATGGTACATGTGAATTCCCTTTTTATGTGAACGTGGGATTTAACTAAAGAAAATTAATGATACATATAGTGCTCGTTTGGTTTTGCTCGTTTGTTAAACTGTGAGAAAATCACTTATTCTTAAAAATTGATGTGAGAGAAAGCTATAAGGGAAAATATTTAATGAGGTGCTTTCATTTTCTGATTATGCAGGAATCTGTTTTGAAGAGACGCGGGGTTTAATGATTATGCCGCAATCATTTTCTGATCATGAGGAAATCAATACCAACAACACTTTTAACAAAAAGTTTACTATACGCCAAACTGCTTTCTCTCATAGCTGATTTCTCTCACAACAAATCTGACAGCGATTATCTTCACAGCACAGCAATGCCAAACTAGCCCATAATGTAAGTAAGGTATAGGGTTTATGTATTTGTAAATCATCCATAATCAATGTATGAATTTAAATTTATGGTTAATTACAATTTAGTACCCTATAGTTACACCCTTAAGACATGTTAGTCCATATCTTTTCAATTTTAACAATCACATACCCTGATCTTTTAAATTTGTTACAATGTGGTTCCGTCGTTAGGATTTCCGTCAGTTCTCTCTGTTAGTTGCCTACGTGGCACTAAATTTCCCACATTTTATTTTATTTTTTAATTTTAAATTGATTAAAATATTAAAAAACCAAAAAATTAAAAATTAAAAAAAAATCCCGCTCTCTCCTCCAATTCCCCAATTTCTTCCTCCTTCCTCCCGATTTCTTCCCCCTCCCAGATTTCTTTCCTCCCCCAATTTCTTCCCCATCCAAGATTTCTTTCCTCCCTTGATTTCTTCTCCCCCCTCCTTCCTCCCAATTTCTCCCCCATAGTACCACAAGAAACAACACACTGGCAGTATAAGCATCAATAATCTTGCCTCAAAAACCATAGTCTGATAACACCCCTGAAATCAAATCATGCAATTATATGAATAAAATATTAAATTTCTTCCCCCTCCCAGAAATCCTTCCTTCCAATTTCTTCCCCCCAATTCCTCCCGATTTCTTCTCCTCTATGATGGCGTCAGGGAAGTCTAGATCGGAGGTGATGGAGATGAGGGCTGGTTGTTGAACTCGGAGAGGAGCGAGTCGATCCAGGAGGTGAGGTCGGAGGGGTTGTAGAGAAAGGCGTTGGAGGCGAGCTGGGAGAGGTCATTGGGGGAGTTGACCATGACGGTCTCGATGCGCTCGAGGGGTTGAGTGACATGTAGGTTAGAGGAGCGGACCTTGTAGCTGGCATCAGCCATATAGCCTTCGATCTCAGCGGATGGTGGAAGAAGAAATCGGAGAGGGGGGGAGAGAATAGATTTCTATAAAAAAATTCCAAAGATATATTCAGCAAAAAGGATGTTCAAATAGTTAACATCCGAAAAAAAAACCCAAGATTTGAGGTATGGAATTACTTATGCACTTCAACATTACTTAAACAGGAAAAGAATCTCAAGTCTGGAACCTATTTTATTATAAAGTTAGAAATGCCACATGGATCGTTGTTGAGGGGAAAAAAATGTGAATGAAAGATCCCACTGGATTGAATTTAATCCATGAAAGGAAATAGAATATTTCATAAAACTAGGTTAATTGTATGGTCCAAAACGTTTCCTATTGTATCTTAACTGAAAAAAAAAAGTTTAAGTAAGCTTTAATCCAAACCACACAGGTTAGCTACTGGAACAATTTTGTGCTAACCTGGTCTATCAAGAACAATTATCGAAAAACTTTTATAAAACGAAAATTGGAACAGAAAAAGAAAATAAAAGAACACAATATGCACGTTTAAGGAAAAATGCAAATGCATTTAATCAAAGAGAAAGGCCTTAAAATACATCAATAACAAACTTGAGACAATTGGTCTGCAAGTCAAGATCCATTTCCACTTTTCAATAGAGAAAAGCAATAATTATTCATAAATTAAGTACAAAGACCGTAAGCCACAAGAGGCCAGTACAAATACCCATAAAAAAGGTTAATACAAAGATGAAAGCATAGTAACCACGAAAATGTTAATATGACTGGCCTGATATTTTTCCAATTTAGGGTATAATATTAAAAAAATAAAAAATGCTTACATTATAGGCCGGCTCGGGTAAGGCATTGCCTCGCCATATGCAGCAGAACCAAACTGAAAATCGCTGATTTGGTTTGGATAGTATTCTCAATAAAACTCATCAATGGAACCGTGTATGTGTGGTCAGTCCACCCCATTTTATCGGGTTGTGTAGACAGTGTTGATAAAATAATATCAATGTTCATGAAAATAATATGCCTCATTGAGTGAAATTCACTGCCATTATGGACCCTGATTTTTTTGTATGTTATGATTAATTTTTTTCCAGATATGGTATGATTAATTGAGTATCAAATGAAATAAAATAAATATTTTGACAGTTTGTGTTTCAGATTTGCAATAAAGAAAATTCGAGTGCAATGAGTATAAATCATCCACAATAGTTTACAAAATAACGTTGCACCTAAATGAGATGTTGGGCAGCAAGGCTTATGACTCGACTTGACTCGAGGGAAAACTGAAATCCAGGCCAACCTGATTCAACTAGGACGGGTCACTCGGCGGATTGCCAGGAGAAGAGCTCTCTCCTATTATACAGACATCAATTTTTGTTTTTCTTTCCATTTAATAAAAAAGAAAATAATAAGTCCAAAGTCCAACTTGTCTCTTACAAAGGTTTTGCATCATCTTGGACGTTCTTTAAGGCTTATGAATTTTCTATACAAACACCAAGAATCTGAAACACCAACAGGGAACTCACAAACCATTCATTTGTTTATCTCTAATGTCATTTGCCCCATATGATTCATGAACATGACATTGATTCCGAGTCACCCTGTCTATTTTCTGGGAGTTCAAGTCCTTCTGAAAAGATGAACTTGCCTGTGGCTCCAAAGACGTTCGCTATCTGCAAAATTACAGTTTGACATGCTGCTGTCGTTGGCAGGACAGACGCTGGAAGACACGGTATACATTTGGGAATAAATTCCTTCTTATTGAAAGTTGGAGCATAGAGTGATAGCGCTGCCCGACAAAATAGGAACCTGAAGGAAGAAGACATAATTTATACAGAGATACATGTATCACACACACAAGGGAGAGTAGAATTTGTACAACTTAAGTACTGGAGAGAAACACTAAGATGACAAGGAACCGTTCGCCCAAAAGATAAGACCTCTAGGAAAAAATCAGCAAAGAGATGAAAAGGTTAACCAATTTGAGAGCATTAATACAAAGAGCTGATAAAGGTTTGATTTTCCATGCTCACAGTGACAAAGAACCAAAAGATGTGTTTGTAAGAGCAGTCCATAAAGCTTTATAGTGGTAGGCAAAATTACAACCAAAAAAAAAAAAAGAAAAAAAAAAGAAGAAAGTAAAAAAGAAGAAGAAAACACTAGAGACTCTGCAGGGCTGCACATTATATACTTTTACATAAGAGCAAAGAAGAAACAGAATAATACCGCAAAAGGAGTCGCCTTAGGAATGGGTCACTCAAAATCTGTGCCCAAACAGGATCAATAGTGTCTGATGTCACCAAAGTAGACCCCCAGTCACTAAATGAACTGGAAAGAAGCTTCTCAGCCTTGTTATATGTATCCTGACATTTTCATTCCATAATTTTTTAGGAAACACTAAATAAATGTATTTTTCAAGTATAAAGAGAAAAAAGTGTCAACTTTTACGCACCATGTCAATGTCAGATCCTGAAATACCGAGCAATAAACAGAAAGCCTGCAAAGGAGCTGTGAGGAAAATAGTGAACAGGCTTCCACTTGAATGACGAGAGGAACCAATAGCAGCAATGTGATATGAAGAACTAGAAGATAGGAGCATTGCAGGTGTTTCACCTTTTTGTACTCCATTTACGGCCTGAGCACAGTTTAAACATTAATTATCTTCTCTATAGTTTAGAGTAATAGAGATTTCTACTGATCCTTAAATGAATTTTGAGAAGAGGGAAAAAGGGGGGAAAATGAGCATAGGTCTCACTCATCAAGCTACCAGACCAATAATTCTGCTCAGTGGACACAGAGAGAGAGAGAGAGAGAGAGAGAGAGAGAGAGAGAGAGAGAGAGAGAGAGAGAGAGAGAGAGAGAGAGAGAGAGAGAGAGAGAGAGAGACAGAGAGAGAGAGAGAGAGAGAGAGAGAGAGAGAGAGAGAGAGAGAGAGAGGAGGGTTAAGATTATTAAATAGTGACAGGTACATACATCTAGGTGTCATCTGATTCTTTGGGGAGTAGATATAACTGACTATGCAAGTCTAACAGTACCCAATTACTATATACATTAACAGCTTCTTCAGAGAACAATATCACACATTTGTAGAAATTTGAAATCACTACCAAAGACAGTACTCAACCTTCAGTCATTTTGTGAACTTTAAGAAATTAGCCAATTTAGGAATGATCAGTGCATCCAATGAGGCCATATGAAAATTTTAAGAGATGTAACATAAGGGGAGAGTTAGGAACTTGCAGCAGATATTGTAGTGTGATATGAAGAGCTAGAAATATTTATATATTTCTGAAGTACAATTAAATATACTGATTTTTATAACATCTTTCAATACACTTCACCTGAAGCGTTTATATATTTTTGCAGAAAGA